AAGAATAATAATTCTTATTACATCATGGATATAACAATACAAGTTCTTTTAATGAATAACAAAAAATACAGATTTATATATTTATATAATATCTATATCCATCTTGTATATCTATATCTATATCTATATCTATATCTATTGCTATATCTTTCTATCTCTTTCTATATCTTTTTATTCTTATATATTCTATGTTTCTATGTTACATTTCAAAACTGTATATTTTAGAAAAATTTTACTGAAATAACTAATTTACCAAATAATATAACCATAGTTACATATGCTATCCCAACAAATTCAAAGTAACAGTTATGTGGCGACTCACGCCACATCAGGCGCGCGGGCACCGCACGGCACGGCGCCGCTCCTGCGAGCGCCGGTGACACGGCGGTAGTTCGGCGCGGCACCGCTAGGCGGCCACCAGCGCCGTCAGCATACTCGCGCTTAAAATTCAGTGGCGATGGGTATATTAAGACCTCCGGCGACGACGAAATTTCAATAAGTGTTTCTTGTCGGAGACAGTTCGCGAGTGAAGTAGTCGACAGTACCAAGTGTTGATCGAGTGAGCCCTACGGGCCTCGATTATTTTGCCCCGAGCGAGCCCCTTGGGCCTCAGAATCTCTATCGAGCGAGCCTCCCCTTAGGCCTCGATATCTTCACCGAGCGAGCCTCCTTAGGCCTCGGTACCTTCACCGAGCGAGCCTCCTTAGACCTCGGTATCTTCACCGAGTGAGCCCCGCGGGCCTCGGCATCTCTATCAAGGGAGCTTCCTCAGGCCTTGATATCTTCACCGAGCGAGCCCCTAGGGCCTCGGTATCTCCATCGAGCGAGCTTCTTCAAGGCCTCGATATCTTCCTCGAGCGAGCTCCACGGGCCTCGACATCGAACCAAGCGAGCTCCAGAGGGCCTTGGCACACCAGCGAGGATCCTGCCACGAGTCCGGCGACGACTCCGAGACGTCCCACCACCAGGACATCCACCGGGAAGCCCAGAGCGCGGACCGCCTCTACCACCGTCGCAGCCCGTAGTGCCATCGGATCCGCGACTACGCCAGGGGCCTAGGCCTCCACCGATACTCGGACATAGCTACATCCCGTGGAGACTAGAGCCGATTACAAGTATAGCAGCTCGATTTCGAGAGCAAGGAACACAAGTACACCGCAGAGTCGACACCACCGAAGCGGCCACTCAGACGTCACCGCAGGGATCGGCCGAACTCCAGGCCGTACCTGTAGACGTGGCGCAACAATCCTCACCGAGAGGAACTCAGGGCACGTCAGGCCTAGAGAGCCCTCCTCCTCAAACACCCGTCGGTCGCCCACGGACGCCAGGCCGTAGGAGGAAGTCCTCCAAGAAACTACGCGTTCAACTGGATAAACTATTCGGACCCTCGCCGACGAAACCGACGAGGAAGAAGGTGGGGGAGAAAGAGAACGAGCCGCCAGCAGAAGATCCGACCCCGGGAGGATCTCACCACTAAGACCAGCACCAAGAAGACACGTAACCGCTCTTCTCAGGGCGACACACGCAACCGCCCTTTTCAGGGCGAGCAAAAGAACGTAACGAGAGAACACCCACGGTTCTCCGCAAGGAACACTACAAGTTATATAACTAACAGTAATATAACTGTTACTTGATGTTTGTTGGAATATTTATTTTCAGTTAAATTTTCCTGAAGAAGTATGTTTTGAAAAGCAAACATGATCTTTTATATCTATCTATTTCGTTTCTTATATCTTTCCAGTCAAGTTTCCAGTATTAAATCTAAGTTATTATGAGCCTGGTCTGCATGAAATACAATTACTCGAAGATTTTGAGCAGGTCGTTGCACAAGACATAATCGAAAAAAATGCACTTTTATACATAACCGGGTATGTTGCACATAAATTTCGTAATCGTTATGATGATTTAGGAATTCCTACAAAAGAGCTCCCAAATCTATCAAATGATTGGATTTGCACATTATCCCGAGGAAATTGCATATATCCTTCCAAAAAACTTCAAGATGTAGCAGAAATTATGAACGAAGAATTCATAAAATTTCATAATACTTCCTTTTCTACACAAGACAAGATTTTTGATACATTAACAAACATTGAGTCAGTAATAGACTACGCAATAGTGAACTGTAGAATGAGAGAAAAGGTGAAGAGGATGAGAATAGGGATGAGAACAGACTCAGATCACTTACCGGTAATAGTAGAGGTAGAAGCAGAGGGAGTTGCTAGGGAACGGAGGAAAGGCATAGAGAGGGAAGTTATGGACTTGTCGAGGGAAGGCGCGGAGGAGTATAGAAAAAATATAGAGGAGGAGAAGATAGAGGAAGAAGGAAGGACGGAGGAGGTATTCCAAAGCATTAGGGAAGGGATAAGAAAAGCAGTAAAAATGAAAAGGTTGAAGGTAGGAACGGGTGGAGAGAAGGGAAGATGGTGGGACACAGAATGTAGGAAAATGAAAAGAGAAGTAAGAAAAAGCTTTAGAGAGTGGAGAAAGGGGAAGGGAAGCAAGAAAGAATATGATAGGAAGGAGTATGAAAGAATGTGTGACAGGAAGAAAGAGGAAGAGAAAGATAAATTTATTAGGGAGGCAATGGAAGCAAGGACAGAAAGCTGAGATTTGGAGGATAATCAACAGAGTGAGGAAAACATGGAAGGGGGTGAACGAAGAGATTAGGATAGAAGAATGGGAGGAGCATTTTATGAGACAGATGGGGGGAACAAAAGAGAAGCCAGAGAGCAAGGTAGGAAAGGGAGAGGAAGAGGAGGCAGGAGGGGGAGAGGAAGAGACAGAGGAGGTAGAAGATATTAGCATAGACGAGGTAATAAGCGCGGTGAAGAGGACGAAAGCAAGAAAGGCAGCGGGATCAGACGGCCTACCGAACGAGGTATGGAAAGAAGGGGGGGCAAACTGTTAGGGGTGATAAGTAGGCTTTACAACAGGATATGGAAGGGGGAAAAGATACCAAGGATATGGGAAGAAGGGATAATAGTGCCAATCAGGAAAAAAGGGGAAGGTAGAAAAACAGAAGAGTATAGGGGGATAACATTACTGTCGACTATTTATAAAATATATGCACAGGTGATAACTAGGAGGTTGGAAAGGGAAGTAGAGAGAGAGGGGATGGTACCGGAAAATCAGGCGGGTTTTAGAAAAGGTAAAGGGACGATGGACAATTTGTACAGCCTAAATTATGTGGTAGGGAGGGAATTGAAGAAAGAGAAAGGGAAACTAGTCGCCATGTTCGTGGACCTAAAAGCGGCGTTCGACGCGGTAGATAGAGAGGAATTATGGAAGGAACTGAAGGACAGAGGGGTATCGAAGAGATTAAGGATAAGGATAGAAGACTTATACAGGGAGACGAGATGTAGGGTAAGGGTGGGAGAAGAGGAAAGTAAGGAATTCTGGACGGTGAAAGGGGTAAGACAAGGGTGCCCACTGAGCCCACTGCTATTTAGCTTGTTTACGGCAGACTTAGAAGAGAAGATGGGGAGGGGGTTGAGTGGGGGGGTAAGAATAGGAAACAG